GGGTGCACTTTCAGTAACAAATACCACTACTGTTGCCATTAATAGAATACTGTTCATCAAAAATGACAAAATGGTCTTCCAATAGCTTTACTGAACCCACATGTTGTTCTTAACTGCATAAACATGTACTTCAGAAACAGTAACAAATAACAAAAACAATAACACCTCACATTGTGCCACATTAAACCCACCGATTTACACATAGTAGCAATCTGTTAGAAAAATAAACGAGAGATTTTGCACCAAAATGTTTCCAAAAGTTAAATTTGCTGTTAAAACCGAAAACACCCCAAAAAATGAGCTCACCGGAGACAAAAATCACCACTACTTCATCCCTCCCTCTTCTCGTGGGTCCGCCCCTTGCCTCCCACACTTCCTGCGTACCCCCTCTCCCCTCCCCCATACCTGCCCTCTGAGCCCTCCCTCACCCCCGGCCTCCTATCCTCCCTCTCCCTTATCACCCTCCTCCCCTACTCCCCATTACCCTCACCTCCAGCACCTCCCTTCCGCCTCCCCTCCTTCCCTCTCCCCCACTCAGCGCCGGTGCCCTCCCCCCTCCCCCGCCCCCTGCTGGGTCAGCTGACTGTCAAAATAAACGTTGAAATATATTTTCTGTCGTCTGTTGTATTTTGTCTGTTTGATATTGGTCGAGATAAATATATGCGAAGTAGTCACGAACTGGCTGGCCATTTTTTTTCGGTCAATCAAGGATTTTTCCCCTTTCCGTTGATGACATTCGTGTTTGCATTTTGCATGGGATATCAAAAAAATACTCATTGATCAATTACACTCAAGTTGAATCTATTATTAAATAGTGATATCATTCTCTTAAATGAATGTTTTTCTAAATTTGTTTAACAACGAATGCGTATTGTTTACCTGGACCTATCAAGATGGGGACGTCTGCGTACATATTTATCCTCACTTTTCTCTCCTTCTGTGCAGTTTTTACTGAGGTATGAATTGTTGACCATTTAGCTGCCACCGTTTTTCTTTCGTTAGGCATTAGAGATAATCTCTATTTGGGGTATTTTGCTCAAACAAAAGGTGTATCACGTGATGATGAATAGCTTCCTTTTCCCAAGGATTTGTTTTTGGCTTCCTGTTATATATGAAAATACTTTATTTGTATTTTTTTTTCTAGACAATCACTGGTTAGAATTATTAAGACTAAGCTTAGTTTAAGTATAAGAAGTTGAATGGGTGAAAGTTTTTATATTTTATGTCCTTTAATTTCGATATTAAGTTTACAATATTCTTTTCTCACAAAGTAAGTAACAGAAGAAGAAATCCATGATTGGATGAGCTTCACAATAAAGAAAAAGCGTCTGGTCAGATGTGTATTTTTTTTATTAAAATGATTGAAAGAAGTAAGACAACATTTAAAAAATGCTTGAAGTCTTTATGCTGCGTTCAGAACTCCTTTTCTTGTTCATCCAGACAATTTGTTAGGACCAGCAGGACAATAAGGCTGCATTCGGAACCTCCAAAACCCTTACTGCCCAGAATGCAGCCAGCTTGAAAGTAAACATTCACTGTTTTATCATACCAGTGTCTTTATTTTAGGTTCTGTAACTTCTTTGATGCATATTGAACTTACCCACAACTGTCAAACACAAAAATATCCTAGTCCTGCTCATCTAGCAGGAAGGCAATAGGCACGAGATGGATAACTTGTCCAGGATGAGAAAGTAGAGGTTCTGAATGGTCTAAACATCTTGTCCAACTTGTCTGACCAAGCAGGACAAGGAGTTCTGAACACAGTATTAGTATTAAAAAGAAAACTCCATAAGTTAGTCAGAAGAAACAGTGCCATTTATGAAACCAATTTCAAACAGTAAATGTTTTGGTAACTTTTTAGAATAGATTGGAATCTTGGAACACTTTGAATTTGATATTAATGGGCTCCTGTTGATCCACTTATTGAATTTAGCCATGATAGCTATTGGAACTAGTAGACTTCCAAGTTTTATATATCTAGGTACCACCTTGGCTGAGTCATGACCTCACTCACAAGGCACATGACCTGTCCGAGCTCTGTCTTGCAGTCAGATATGGTGCAGCTTTTGCATTTCTTGCATGGGTAGGGCATGAGTAAAAATATGAATGGCGCATAATTGACTCCTCATTTCCTCAGAATATATCCATTTTCTTTAGAAACATTTTTGCCATCAAGTCTTTTAGGATATTGTCAATATTGTAGCCAAGCATCAACTGTGACTACTATAAATTCATGCAAGACATCTTAAGGAATCCACCAATACTAAATACAGTGGATTTTAAGATGCAGACCTGTTCTGGAATATTCCCACTGGTTTTATACAGAAACGTAAGGGGAGGGAAAGAATTCTATGTATGACTCTCAAAACATTTTCAGTTTGCATGCATATCTTAACAGAAGAGAAAGTATATTTTTTTCTTTCACACATACATTACATATTAATAACTTATTATGACATTTGTTTTCGTAT